TATATATATATATTTGTGTGCAAATACATATATACAAATATATATGGGCCTTTTAGCAACCCCTTTGGAAACTTACCCAATTTGCCACCAAAACCCAATAAAGTCATTTCACAGTTAAAATTATAGTATTTGTTTGCTGAGCTGCCGACTGTGGGTCCATTTGATAATTGCTTAAAGCTGTACCCATTCCACGCACGCACACACACGCGCGTACACAGTCCCCAGTTGGAACAGTTTGTCACGGCCCATCCCCCTTTTGCGAAAAACACATGCGAAAGCCATGTCGGGTCGCATATGTTGCTCAAAGTGATTATTTTCACTAAAAATAAACGAAATTAATGATTGATGAAGTGAGACAAGGGAGCGAAATGTCAGACATCAACACCAGAAGAACAAGATGATGAAGATGGGGAGGAACCCGACCCCACAAACCATTTTCACTTCGACTCCCACTGCCGGTCGCTCGCGGTTCCTTTCTCAGCAAACAAAGAGCGAAACAGCAACATTTCAATCGTAATGAGCAGGGGAAAGTGTCATTTAATTGAAAGCAGGTGGAGTAGGTGTTCGGGGCCAAATGTAAAATGGGAGATGGAAGCTGGAAGATGGATGCTGGATGCTGGATGCTGGGTAGCCAGCCAGCTTCATCTTTCTTTGCGGCGAGTCCAGCCTTTTGTCGCAACCGCAACCAGACGGAAATCATAAAAATGTTGCACACACAAATATTTTTTATGTATCTTCGCTCGCGTCTTCGTCTCGCCGGGTCGAAAATAATAATAAAATGCGAATAAAATAAAACAAACAAAAAATAATATTTCGAAGACTTGGAATACCCTTGGGAACCTGGAATACCCTTTGGATATAGAGAAAGTCTTAGAATGATCTTGATTGTCCGCCAAAGATGAAAGGAGGTATACATTGAAATATGAAATCATGTTTTGAAGAGAGTTTCAACATTAATATTATATTGATAACGAATATCTTAAAGTATTCTAGTCTAGAATTCTAATTTATATAGCAGATCGACAATATATAACCGTCTGCTAGAATATTTTGTTTTATAGATTTTCTAACGAAATTGAAATACCCAATCGGCAGAGTAGCGAATAATAAATGCCACCAGACGCCAAGACGCGGGACGCAGGAGGCGTGGCATGGCATGGGCGGCCGTGCCACATATTTCGTTTATATATTTACTTGACAAGTTTCGCAGGAGCCTCGACTGTGCCTCGACAGTTGCCCGCTGCCATTTGCGTCTTGCGTCTTGCGTCTTGCCTCTTGGCTTGGGTCTCTTTCGCTTTTGGCGTCTTTTGCCATTTCAGTGCAGTGCAGACCCCGGCGCTGCATGTCATCAACAACATCATCTACATCTCCTCGCTCTGCGTCTCGGAGTCGGTCTACGTCTACGTCTCCTTTCTCTGTCCACGTCTCCGTCCTCGGCTCCAACTGTGGCTCCGACTGTTGTCTGCTGTGTTCTATTTTATAGTCCAAACGTGATGGCAAAATGTGCCTGCCTGCTGCATATATATTTTCATTTTCTTTTTTGTTTTCCCCGGGCTTTTCCCAATGCCTGCTGTGCTGTGTTGTGTGCTGCCTTGCCTTGCCTTGCATTTTCCTGCCGCGCTTTGGAAAAATAAATTAATGGGAAACATGCAAACATAAATTCGTTTTTTAGCTGTCAGGTGTTTCACATTTTAAACGTAAATTATATATAAAGCACCAAACAAAATTATAATTCCGCCTAAATGTTTTATTGGCCACCGACTGCTGTCTGTCTGTCTGTCTGTCTGTCCAACTCTCCCTCTGTGAGCATATACCCTGTCCATATCTTATTGAGAAAGCAGGCAGCTCTGTTTGTCAAAAGAAATGTTCATCTTACAAATTGGTGCACTGCTTGGCTTTATGTACAGGGTATCTTTTCGTCGTGCATTTGCATTGTTTACTTTATGCTTTTGCAGCAGCCAATGGAAATTTAATTTTATTTAAATTAATGATGAGGCTTATAATTGGCCTCGTTTTAGGTTTTTAGCTTCCTTCTATTCATTTTGGTTTTTATATGGACACTTTACAGTGTGAATGGCAGCGACAACGTCAGCTTCATCCCCATTTCAATCTGCCTCTTCATCAGCATCTCCTGCTCCATCTCAATCTTCATCACAATCTCTAGCTCGCATCTACATCAGGGCCTTTCTTTGGCTCGCTTTTTGAAGAGCATTTGACGTGACTTGGGCTTCGCTTTTCGTGCGATGCGCTCTCTCAACTTTGATTATGACGTGAAGTTGGCCAAGTGCAAATACTTTGCTCGTACTTTTTAATTAACTTAATTAGCATAGATGATGGGCTAAGAAGAGCAGCGCTTACATAACATGGAAATTGCATTATGCTTTCCCGCCGCCTTCCCCACACTGTGCCCAGTCCCCACTGTCCATCAGCTCGTATGGGAAAGTTGACAGGGCGGGCGAACTCGGTTTTCTGGCCTTTTGATTTTGGCTATGGCAGCCCTGTAAATTACTCAGGAGAAGCTCGCTTCTGTTCACATACTCCTCATTATAAGCATAATGTGCTCGACAGCTATACGAAGCGATTGCTCTTTTAAGTACCACCAGACGTACTTAAATGCCTCCCCCACACCTTAGCTGATTTAGAATTCCTTGTGTTCATTGAGATCTAACCTACTAATTGGTTATACTAATTAAAAACATTTCAATTGAGTAACCAGCACCACTCCGATTTCGTCAGCCATTGTGGTAAATATATTATAAGGCCCGTAGAAAACCTTGTCTAGCGTTACCTCACGTGCGGTTCACGTTTCATCTACACTGAGTATTCGCATAGACAGATGAACAGTAAAGATTATATGCAAAGTTTCCTACCTGAGCTCAGACTTTATATTTCAGAATGTTTTCAGCTTGTCATGTTTTCGGGTTTGTTCTCAATTTTTCCAGCATCAATGAAAACTATTATATGTATAATTGTTTCTACTGTAATAAAAGTTCCTTTTATGAGACAATTCATAAATTAGTGTTATTATTAGTGTGAAAAAGCTTGATTATAATAAATCAGCCATTCAAAGCTTTCGTTGGTTTGCAGCTGATTTATAATCCGTCAATCAAATCAAATGTTCTAAAATTGTCTTTATGGTTAGAGCTCTGAGTTGGTTAATCACTGCTCAATCAACCGTCAGTCAATGAAGCACTCATCCATCACTCAATCGATAGTTTCGTTCGCTCTATTTTAGCTAGATTTACACACCCAATTAATGAGTTTTCTATAGTCGTGATTATTGCTTCCTTTTTTATTGTTGATTCCACAAATTTTGTGCCCCGGGCTTTTCCATCTTAAATTATGTGTCTAAGTTTTCTTTCTTAATTTCAATTTTAGTTGGGCAATTTTCTTATTTTTTTAATAGCTGCTGCGGCACGTCTCGACAAAAAATTATAATCTTTCAAGTGGTTGTTGGTGTTTCTCTTGTTGATATTGTTGCTTGGCAGCCGATTTCCCCCGCCTCATTGCCCTTTGCCCGGAGGCGCTAAATGCAGGAAAACAAAAAGAAATAACGGAAGAGGCCGCGCTACACCGGAGACATAAGAAATTTGTATAAGAAATCTATAAATTTTGTCTTAATTTTTTCCCTCGTTTCATTTTTTTTTCTTTTATAACGCGTGATTTTTGATTTACGCGCCATTGGACATTTTATTTGGATTGGAGTGTTTGGTTTCCCAGAGCACATGTTTATTTTTTGTCTCTTTTTCCCTCGTTGTATTTTTTATTTTTATTTTTTTTTTTATTTATTTTTATTGCTTTTTAATGCGCCGCTGAGGAAGTTTTATTTCTGGAGGCAACTGCAACTCCCCCAATCGTTTTATGTGAGGCGCTGTGCGTGTGGATTGTTGAACAATGAATTTTCTCGGGATTATCTATGTGTGTGATATAGTGCGGGTGTGTGTCTTCTATATTGTATGTAAATGTGTCTGCGTACAACTGAGCTGCAGGCAGCAACAGCCAACGCAGCGGTGGCGCTTTATTGTAGAGTATGAGAAATAGTATAGGGTATAATCTAAGGGGTATAATATCTAATCTAATATTGTCATGAAATGTGCACAGAAAATATTATATATTTGTGATATTTTGATTCGATTTGATATAGAATTATTGGCCAATTAATCCATTAAAGAATAAGAGTGTACAATATGTTTTTAGGTGCTTCTTTTTGACTGGCTGATGATTAACTAAATCTGCGAAAGAGTATTCAGGCTTCAGCCAGCCGTAGCAAACAGATTTCTCGCTTGTTTTAAATTCAAATGCGGCAATTGTCAGTATTTGCCACCTTCTTTCATATTTATGCTCTTATGTACAAAACACATATATTATGTATATATAATAAACATAAAATATTCAAGTCTTGTCTTCTGCAACCCACACAGAATACGCAGCAGCAGCCACAGCAGGAGGAGGGGACGCCGCAGCAGCAGCAAATGCAGCTGGAAGTAACCGCAGTCAGGACGAGGGCCAACACGAACAGGAGCAGGACCTTAGCCACGTCCAAGGCGAGAGCTAGAGCCACGTCGTTAATCTATTTACCGCCTTTCTGTCAGCCATGTGGACACGTGCCTGCGGCAACAGCAGCAACAGCAGCAGTGGCGGCACGGGCATCGGTATCGTCCACCAGCTGTTCCTCAACTACGACTTCTCGGTGCTGTTGTTTTTGTTGCAGTAGCAGTAGGGAACATAAAAATGATGATAAACATGCCACAATGCCGACGGTGACAACAGCAGGAGCAGGAGCAGCTGTACTGTGCCCTGCCTCAGTCGCAGTGGCAGTTTCAGCCTCATCCTCGCCAGCAACTTCTTTGGAGCTGGCGCACAAATTCCTGCAGCGTGATATTCAGTTTAGCGTGGCGCCTAGCTGCAACGCTCTCAGACGCTCGACGCAATTAGTTATGCCAATTGTTGTAGGTGGCAGCAACAGCAACAGCCATGGTAGCGTCTCGGAATGTTTGCGACGCCAGCGCCAGCGACGTGAGCTTATGCGAATCGAGCGACAAAGTCAGGGGGCAACGCAGCTGGACACAATAAAACCAATCAGCAGTGCAACAGCAACTATAACTACAACAGCAGCAACACTTGCAGCCACAGCAACAACAACAACAAATAGTTCGCAAGCAACGACAACGGCAAAAATTGACGAAGAGAAGTTGAATGAGGATGAAGATGAAGATGATGATGATGATGAGGATGATAAATGTAGGTGCTATAACTATAACGGTGATATTAGTGCGCTGGAACGTCTAGAGCAAGAGAAGGAGCGGGAAGCGCTAAAGAAAAGGCAGCAACAGCAACCGCAAGATGAGATGGAGCTGGAGCTGAAACGACAGCAGCAGCAGCAGCAGACGCTGCCTGAGTGGTATCAGCTTCCTAGCATTACGTGGCTAAAATTCTGGCAGCAGCAACTGTGCAACAGCAACAGCAGCAGCAGAAATRGCAGTAGCGACGCCAGCAACTTCGCCAATGCGACAACGCTAACAACGAATATAACGACAACAACGGCAGCAGTAGCAACAACAACAACAATTGACAGGAGTCGGGGCAGAAGCTGCGGCAGCAACAGCATGACGTCGACAAAAAGTTGGCTGAGAGCACTGTGGCTGACGCTGCTGCTGGCCACGTCCGTTAGCGGCTGGGGAGGACGTCAAGATGGTGAGTAATAAGTGGCCGCTGTACAGATACCCTTCATGGCTTGAACATATAAGGAATTAACCCCACAGCCAATCCTTATGTATTCATAATCAACCTTAATTCTGGAAAGTTATTGGCAAAACGCATTTTATAATTGTCTGTACCTCACCTCGCAGCTGACAGTGTTACACAAGAGTGTCATATACCCTACATTGTGTTTGTCCAGGGTATCTGCATTAGAGCTGTAGTCAAGATGAAAAGTCGCAGAAAATGCGCGTAACGCATGCCGTTAAGTAGCGTTATGATAGGAATTTATAATTTGACTTGCGCCACAATGCCACCTCCATCTATCCAATTGCCCCGCCATCTTTAGAGGCCCAACCCCCGTCCACAGCGTCCCCTTACAAGTGGCCATTCTGCCCCTCCTACTCCTCTGCTGAACGACAACAGCATTTCATTTAATTTTGAGCATAATTTTTAGTGGCCCGAGCGTCAGCTGCCTGCCACAGCTTGTGTCTGCACCCAACCCCTGCGAGTGATTGCCTCCGCCAACCGACCTCCCTCCACCCCCGCTCTCTTCATTTGCGCCCTCTGCTCGGTCATGCTCAATTGAATCCATAAGTAGTTTGTGACCACAGATCTGCGTGCTCGTATAATGCGTTTCAACTGTTTCTCCATGAGCGAATTTGTCCAAAAAACAAGTAAGAAAGCTCTAGTCGAGACTACTCGACTACGAGATCCCCTGAACCCTTGGAGTAATAGCTATTTCAATAATTTTTCGCGTCTTTCAGCTTACATAAGAAACAC